TGGGTTTAAGCTCTCTCTTGCTGAAATAATCATTGTGCCTTCAGTTCCATGAGTTAAATTAACTTGGTGAAGTCCAGCTTGTGATTGCCCCGTTTGCAGTAAAGATAGGGATGTGTTCCAACATTGGAAGATATCTGCAGAAAAAATTTTATTTTTACTATAACACTTGTTACAGCACAAAGTAAAGAACACTCTAATAAAACTTGTTGGTGAGTTTTCTACTTACTTTTTCTACACAGTTACTACTGTAACATGGAAGAGTCTTTGTTAGCTGCTTGTGTATGTTTTCAGGAAAAAATGTGAACACTCCCAACTGAAACTCTCTTTAAGAATTTGGAAGCTCCAGAGAGCTGAGCTGATGAAACAGTTGTTCATCATTCCAAAACCTGCACCCTTGCTTAATTCTAATAATAGATATACATAACTTGCTCTGTGCTTTCTTTTTTTTCTTCATTCTGAGTGTTTAACAACTTCTGAATTGGAAGAATTTTAAAGCAAAATATTTCTGTTAATGAAATAACCCGTTAATGATGTTGTCACAGGTTTTAGAAATTATTTCCAAAAATATACTGTATCCTTTTTTGGTAATTAGGAAGTGTCATTATCTGCCCTTCAGGAATAATTTATTTAAAGTTATTTAAAGTTGAGGTCATTCATGCATGAACGCAGTTATCACTGAAGATCAAGTAATCTGTTCAGGTCATTGGATATCCATCATCAACCCGTACGTAACTGCACAAGCTCCATTTCATCACTGTCAGCTGCTGAACGGAGCAATACTTTTTCCATCGTGCTGATGGATGCGGATGTACATTCTCAGTTCTGACCTCAAATTGCAGCAACAATGCTGCAACATACTTCTGACATATTTTTCCTAAACAGGTCATTATACATAAGTGTGCATCTCACACAGAAACATGTCGTAAAAGTAATAAAAATTCCTTAACAATAATGTGTTTCTCACTTCAAAACTAATAGCTTTGAAAGTGAAGTAAAATCATGAAATAATAAATCAGAAAACTGGCCAATAGGAGAAAGCTGCACGGCAGTGACTAAGGGTGGTTATCAGCCTGTACTGGTTTTATCTGTTCTTTCCAATTTGCAGGCTTTGATCGTTCTCTGTTATCTCTCTCTCTTGGTGTTACCATTAACAGTGATAGATTCTATTGTAATTAACTTATGAAAAGTAAATCTCATGGAAAAAAGGGCTGAAGGACTAAGACCTTTGCAAATGGGTGTATGGCAGCGATCTCCTGTCAGCGAAGGTTATGTATATCAGCAGTCTGAGACCTGTAACCTGATTTAGAGGCACAAAAAATACTGGGTTTGATATAAGGAACTGCATGTAGATATGACTGTGGTATGGGGGACAAATATTGAGATGAGGATCTTATACATGTTACAGGTCTAAAGAATATGATGTTATTCTCAATCTGCTTTTTCTGTTAAGTAGCTGATGTTAACTGAAAAGGTCAAGCATTTCCTGTAAAACCAGGTGTCTGACTCAAATTTCTGGCAAATGGAAAAAGGTTCAAGCTGTCTTATTGTAGGCTTTCCTCTTTTTTTTTTTTTTTTTTTTAACGTAACGACTCACAGTGCTTTACTCTCTTCTAGTTAAAAGAAAAACGCTACCTGTAACAGTATTTGAATGTTTTTAAAAATCCAATAGATTTGAAGTTCGTTTAATTTTTCTCTTGGTGATGGTACCTGTGCCTGAAGTCTCAGCTTACGTGTCATCAGAGCCTGGCTGATACCTTTTGTTGGGTGCCGGCTGTACCTGCAGGTGGGTTCAGGGACTAATCTGAGCCACTGGAGGTATTTGTTGCTTGGCCACTGGATTGTGTTGCTATTCAGCTTGAAATTAAGGAGTTCTATGCTTTCCTGCTTATTTTGTTATGTAAATCTTACGGTAAATGGAAATATTTTGTTGAGAACGTTCTTATTTTATAAACATTCACTGGTTCTTTATAGCTGTTAGTGTTAAGTTTGTGCGAAGTCTAAGAAATATTAGTTTTTATTAGTGTGCCAGTGGTCATAAGATCAGAGAACTGCTTGAAATTATTTCTTTTGGTAGAGAAAAATTCATAAATGAGACCGTCTCACTCTTAGTTAAATTCTGATTTGTTTGAGTTTGGCAGATGAGGGAGAATGGATCAGACTCTGAGGTCCAGTGTGTGCATCCTCCAGTGGGGAATAGTCTGTGGCCGTTCTGATATGCGCTGGGAAGGAAGCATGCTAAAGGGTTCAAGTGAAATGCAATTTGTTTCTTTCTTTTTCAAACTTCCACTGCAATACATAAGACTGCAGACAGCTGTGATAAAAGATGCTGCTTTAGTCCTTTTTCCACTGAGGGGTGGCAAGAATGAAATTCCAGCGTGAATCTTCCTCAGGGACTGAAGGGATTAATATGTCTTAAAATAGACACCATCAGCTTAGAAATGTATTTTCCATGTTTGAATATGATGAATTTTGCAGTGAAATGATTGGGAAAAAATGGTATTGTCTCTGTTCTTCCAGCTTGTTTGTGGATTTTGAGATAACTTGTTTACAAGATAGTTAAATTCTGCAGAATCTTAAGAACTGTTGTGGTTTTATGTGCTTAAGTAGTCATGCATGCTTCCATTTTGCAGGGTTATTTTAAATTCTGGTGATTGCATGGCACCACAAACTCTTTTTTTGCCAGTAGGACCATGAGGCAGCCTGGAGGTGGGCAGTGAGCTCCGGGGGGGCACACATTGCCTTTAGGAGGGGGAACAGTGGAAGTGGGGCCACCACCTGTTTCAGCTATGTGCTTCAGGGGATAGGTGTCTTTGTAATTTGTCCCCTTCTTTTTCTGAGTCTCCAGCAGCAAGGTTGTTATTCTTTTAATTCAGCAGATTGTTTCTGCCAGCTTGGTTAATAACTTGGATATTTGCTGCTGGGGGTCCAGAGCAAACCTAGGCAGAAGGACTGAAATTGCCAGCTCTGGACGTGTAATGGAGCGGTTGAGCATATGCAGCACTCCCTCCCAGCAACGGGCAGTGACGCCAGCATTGCCAGAGGAATGAGCATGGCATATTGTTTCTCCTGTATGCCTGATTATTTATTTATGCATTCCGATTCATAATAGCATAATAACAGACTTGAAACAATAAGATAATTATTTTACTTCTTGGGTGGTTAAAATTAACTATACTCATTGCATATTTATTCAGTAAAAAGATACAAGAGGTTTAGTAATTGCCCAGAAATTCATTGTCTGCATAATGTTCTGTTTCTAAATGTGTATTGCATGACCGTTAATCTGTGCTAACAGCAAGCATGCAGCAATATCTGATGTAATTAGTTTTCCCTTTACATGCCAAGGTGAACATCTGGGCTAATTACGTGTTGTTGACAAAAGTTGCCTTTCTAATAAGGGTCCCTGTTTGTGCACACACATGCTCATTATACCTACAAACATACTCATGACTTGAGTTTATCCTCAAGCAAACTGGATAGTTCTCACTGATGATTTGTTACTGGGGTCATACAGTGTATGTGGGCAGCATTAGTAAATGTTAGCAGGAATAATATGCTCTGCTTTTAAACAGAAAACCAACAAACCTGTAATGCTGCTCCTTCTGTTTTATTTTTCCAGCCACCACTGGTCCAAGCGATTTTTAGTGGCGATCCAGAAGAGATACGGATGTTGATCTACAAAACTGAGGATGTCAACGCCTTGGTATGTGGCTTGGCATGTTATATGCCTGTGATACGTAAGCACCATGCTTATGAGCTGTTGCAATGACAGTATTAATCATGTCCTTAGTAATTAACACATAGCAGATTGGAAATTATTTGGAAGTTAGAGATTTGGGGCTTCAATGGAAACCTAATTAATAGTCTGAAATATAATTATTTCCAGCAGGTGACTTTAAATTTTCTAAGTGTATGGTAATTATTGCAAACGTACAGGTCAGTCTGGGACATTGTTTTCTCTCTTACTGGGAAAACGAATGAAAACAGCTGAAAGCTGCATATTTTTACTCTCTGTAAAGTTTCCTTTTATGAAGAGTCTTTGCAGATCAGGAGCTGTTATTCAGCATTTGTCTGTACTTGAAATAAAGCTTCACTATAGGTCTCAGCAGTGAGAGTAAGGAAGCAGTATCTTGGCCATGATTTACTTACAAAGGAATTACTGTTCTGCAGTTTGGCTTATTCTCCAGACAATGGTGAGCAGCTGAAAACAAGTAGTAGTGAAGTGTTTTGGCAGTGGGAAAAAAAAAAAAAAATCTCCATTTGAACTTGGTCTTTTTGCACAAGTCATTCCCCACCCCACCCCCCAGCTTTGATTTTAACCTAAATCCGTACTGTTAGAAACAGACCCTGCCAGTCTTGACTATGGTCTGTGGCCTCTGAAAGTGGCAAGAATATAAAGCAGAAGCAGAATGGTGATTTCCAGGTGTTTCCTGGACTTTTGAATCAACCTTCCTTTTCTTCTTGTCTTTCTCTGACATAAAGCCATGAGTTTATTCACAGCTAACTCCAGCAATTTGTCTGGTGTAGTCTTGGCACTGCAGCTTTTGCAGGCAGTGGGGTCCAGCCATCTGGTCAGAGATGCAGAAAGGAACAGGAGAAATGATCCTACAGATCTGGTTAACTGGGGCTCCACTCCGTTCGCTGTCAAGTGGAAGGAAAGATTTGCTGTTGTTTTAAATGGGGAGTCTGATCAAAGACGACACTGATGTTAGGCTTTCCCTGTGATTATCAGTACCTGGTTGTTTTCTTGAAAGAAGTTCCTAAAAGTGCTTCTTTAAAGGGTGATTTCCCTTGAGTTTCCTCCTTATTTGTTTTCCCTGATGGTCTTAAAAAAACAAAGTAAAAAACCAAAACCAACCAACCAAAATAAACAAACCCCAAACCTAAATGAACATGATAGTCCTACAATTTCTGCTGTATTTCATGTTGGTCTTTCAAAATAGCATTTTCTGTACAAGGTTACTATAGGCTTCTCAAATATTTTTATATCCTTTGGCTGCAAATATGGTAGTGATGGTTGCTAGGGAGATGTTCTCTACTGTCAAGTGAGATATTAAAGGAAGAAAATGTATTTTATAGATGAGAACCATAGTACTTAATAGAAAAGTCATTGAACTTGAATGATCTTGCCCAGAATCCTGTTTAAGATGGTAAAAGTCCACCCAAGAATGCTTTGCCTGAACAGCTATTTTGTCAGAAGCAAAACCCAAAGCTGTTCTTTGGAGTAATTAGAAAAATACTAGTCAGCACGAATTCTGAAGATTGGGTTCTGGATAGTGATTGCAGACAAGTGCCAAAGGCTCAAAATGTCACTAATGAAAGATCAAAAGTTACATTTTCCCTGCTTTTCCTGTGAGCTCGCAATTTGCAACGCATGCTTATGTTACTATTTTAAGGGTGTTTTTAATGACTTCCATGCTGGTGTTTCTCTAGTGCTTGGTTGCTCATGTGAGAGGAGACTCTGACGCTGGCAGCAAGTTGTCCTTTGTTGATCGTTTTGATTAGTTGTGTTAATATTGAAATAGTTCAAATATAGGTAGGACAGGGAAACAAAATAAAACTCTGTTTTTGCAGCAAGCTTTGGGGATTTCTGAAGTTTTAAAAATTGTTTTTTGGAATCTGCAGCAAGAGAGGTATTTGGAAGGCAGAAGAAAAAAGCACATTGAAAAACTGTGCAAAATTAGGGATGTATATGCATAGCTCCTAAGAGAAAATTAATCTCAGAGGAAAGAGTTTAGAGCAAATCAGAGGTTTAGAAAGCTACTTTTTTTGTTGTTGTTGTCTGGTGAAACAATTAGTATCTTTCAAAGCTGGGAAATGTAGGCTGATGGAAATTGCTACATTCTGGATGCTGCTATAATTGTGCTTCTATTTTGCAACAAAGTGAAAGTGGTAACTGTTTGACTTAGAAGTGTGGTTTTAATTGGTTCTGCTACTGTAATCGTCACGTTGACCTCTCCAGTCCCTAGCTATGCTTTGGGGAAACACGATGCTACTTTTGCACCCTGAGGGCATGGACAGTGTTGTACTTGGCTGGCGGTGAGCAATTCCCTACCACTGAGTACCGAATACGCGCTATTTCTGTGGGCAATGTGCTCTGCCTGTGGGCAGTGCTCAGCAGTCTGTTTTCCCAAGGCATTTGGGGTATTGGGTTGGACCATCCAGACCACCAGATTAGTTGCAGGTAGACATCCTCTGCGCTTTCTGTTTGGTACATTTAGAGATATCAGGGTGATCGTGCTATGTGTGTGTAGGTAGGGATTTTTGGGGATGCTGTTTTTACTTTGGGAAGAGTGTGAGGGAATGACCCCCAGAATCCAGGGATTATTCCAGTGGTAGCCCCTGGTTAGCTGGGATTCATAATACATGCAGCTGTGCAGCATCCTATGTCTGCAGAGTCTAGTTCTTATGTGCAATGTCATGATTTTCTACTAAACCAAAATCCTTCCTGTAAAATTTCCATTTTCATCTCAGTCTTCCAGTTTAGTTTCCCTTCAAAATATTCAAATCAAACAAAACAGGCAAAAAACCCTTCCAATATTCTTCCCCATAACTGATGAGATGTTTGCAAGCCAAATCAGGTATTCCTTTCCCTCCGTTTTTACTCTTTATCCCCTAATCCTGCATTTTCTTGTGGATGGAACCCTAAAAAACAAAATATATGCAAATCTTTGATGTCCCCAGAATATCTTCTATTGCATTCATATTCTTGGGAAAGTAAATAATATACCCCCTCACCCCACCAGTGAGACTGTTGAAGGCAACATCTGTTTTCCCAAACTTAAGTTGCTTCTGTTTCTGCTGTTGGGGCACAGTTGCTGATATGACCTTCTGGGCTTGATCCTCGTAGCCTCTTTGCTTGATGCTCTGCCAGCTGGAAAAGCTGCTGCTTCTCACTGCTTGCCGGAGTCAAGAGCTGCTTGTGCAAATGCTTCCCCACTCACTTTCGCCAAAATGAGATAGATTAGGAGAAGGCAATGGTTGAGCTGAATTTGGCTCATTTTCATTAAAGCAGAGCTGCAGAGCCAGCAGATCTAGGTGGGCTGCAGTAACTTCTGGTAGGCCAGGCTGGGGATGGGATCAAGCCATGCCCGGGTGTAGTGACCCTGGACACTGCCTGCCTGTTTCTAGCTGCAGAGCAAGTCTGCAGAGGCACCAGCAGAGATTCCGGTGTCTTACATGCAGGACCATGTATTTAGAGGGTGGTTTATTTACAGGATAAGGAGAGTGAGAAGGAAGTCCTTATGCAGAGACATGGATGTATGCCATTTATTACTACTTTTTCTCATTATCCTACTTGGTAAGGCATAGATTTGCAGGACTGCCTTTGTTAGGAGTATTCAGCCTTTATCCAGGTCTTCACACACGTACAAAAGTTATATATATTTCTGTAATAGCGCTAAGCATGCTTATTGAGGTGGTACAAATGCTTGAGGGTACAAGTGTGCACACGTTTAGGATTGTGAGTCTGAAAGGCTTTGCATGCTTGGGATAACTAATATGAAAACCAGCTTGTTGTTCAGTTTGAAGTGACATGTTTGATTTGGAACTGAGAGAGACAGTAATGTGGTATTTCAGTAATCCTGGGAACCAGACCCTCGTCTCTGCTCTTGTCCAAGGAATGATGATTTTCTTTTTGGCACTGTGGAGTCTTACAGGAGAATAAAGCTATCTGGGAAGTAAATGTTCCTCTTCTAGATGTAGTTACGCTGTGCAGGAGAGTCTTCTGGATTTAGTCAAGAATTTTGGAAGGCTTCTGCTTTGATACAGTATGACAGTTTGGTGCTAGGTAATAGCTGTGTTTTCCATGGGTATTTAGCCTCCAATAGTGCTGTTTGATATGCTGTTAATTTAAGTGGGAAGTGTGATGGAGATTTTTTTTCTACAGAAGGAAATTATGAACAGTTCTCAGTTATGTAATGAAATTGAATATGAAATTGCACTGATGTTTGCAATGCAAGGCAACCAGCATGACTTTTATTTAGAATAAATATTTTTCTTTTAGAAAATAAATATTTTTATATATTTTATAAATACAATGTTTGAACTGTGAAGAAGGGGAAGAAAAAGGAAGATCCAGCAGATCAATACCTGACTCTGAGCTTGGTGTCACCAGCAAAATTTTGGGGTTTTTGTTCATGGCTCAGTCTACACAACACCAGGCCTGTTGGTGACAGACAAGGTACACCTGTCTCAAAGACAGAAAAGGAACTTTGCACAGGAGTTACTAGGGCTCACTGGAAGAACTTTAAACTATATTTGAAGGGGGAAAGGGATAAAACCAGGCTCGCTAGAGATAAGCCTGGGGGCAGCACGCCAGTGTTTGAGGAACAGTGTGCTAGCAAGGACCTTTGGTATGCTGTCTCAGTGGAGGCAGGGGGTGGAGGTCCATACAGCAGCAAAGACATAAGGGTTATTGATATGTGAGAAACCGCAGAAGTGCCTGAGAATGTTCACATAGGAATTAGGGCTTCTCTCCCCAAAAATATGGCGGGATCAATAGCCCAGCTGAAGTGCATCTACACCAATGCACGCAGCATGGGCAACAAACAGGAAGCGCTGGAAGCCATTGTGCAGCGGGAAAACTATGATATAGTTGCCATCATGGAAACATGGTGGGATGACTTGCACAACTGGAGTGCTGCAATGGATGGCTGCAAACTCTTCAGAAGGGATAGGCAAGGAAGGAGAGGCAGTGAGGTA